AAAAAAAAAAGGGTGTGTATTTTAAAAAAAAAGGTTGCGAGCGGTCGCTACTGCTTGCGAACACTTTTTGTGACGTGTAATGTGAGCGCTACTATCATATAGAGTGGAAAGAGAGTTTCCGGCCATGTCATTTGTACATTTTCAATCCTACATTCATACAAAAAAATAAGAGTACACGTAATCTTGTGCAGTATTCCACTACTAGGACCCCCCAACTCCCTCATACTGTTAGAAAGCTCTTAAAAATAGCTTTCAATTCATGTGCTTACCATACTTAAGCGTCTGTTGGGGACAAAGATAGAGCTGTTTGAGTGAGTTGAACCTCTCTTAAAGTTCTATGTGTTTTTCTACTGTGCGTCAATTTTGGGCCATCTAATTACGGTGCAATGACTTGTGGGATTAAAAATTGAGTTGTACAACTGGTACAGCAATATCGCGTGCTTGCAAAACTATTTGGTCACACAAATGGTGGGATTCAAAAATTCAAGTACCAGTACAAGTACTGCACACTGAGCACGTGCATTTTGTACGTATTAGTTTTTTTGTCAAAGTACTAGTCATTAGATGCAAAAATAAGGGCCCCAAATATACAAGTGGTTAGGGGAAAAAGGCAAGAAATTTTTGGATTCATAGGTCCAAAGTGGCTGGCATGCTCATCTAGTAACAGCCGGTATGGCCAAATTTTGCTATTTCTGAGACCTGCTGGTGTGTGCTACAAAAGAGGCCAGCAAGTGACCCAAAAACAACATCTAGACCACTAGACTAAGCGCCTAGTCCATATTGATATAATCACTTAGATGTCTATGTCATTGGGATCCCATAGGATGGTATGCCAGCTTAGAATTAGCTCACCAAAGTTACAGTACTAGTAGCTGGTGCCCAAATTTTGATGTAAGAAACAGGACATGACAGAACCTATGTTATACTTGTACCTGTTTTACCATTATTACATCCAGGGGTCATAAAATAGAGGGGTGCTTGACAGATTTTTTTCTCATGCAGGATCAGACCATGTGTGTCTGAAATTGGAAAAGAATGTCACCCCAGGATTTTTTGACAACTTCATATTTACTGGTGCATAATACTAGAAAAACTGTTAAACTTTAAAGCAGTAACAACTTCATCAAAAATATTGATAATATACATTTTTACTAGCCTGTATATACCAGTTTTTTTATGAAGATTCTGAACATATAATTTTCTTGGATATCAAATTGATTTTTGTGCTATCATTCTTTTGTTAGTACATGACCAAATCAGTACTACTAGTAAGCAAATGGATGAAGGATAGATTGTTCAAATTTTTGTTAGGGACTGGACTGTTTTCACAAAATTGGATGAGGGACAGAATATTTCTACTAAAATTGCAGTACCACCACCCTACTAGTACTACCAACTCCTCTGTTTCATCACATCAAATCTCAAAGAGGATTAAAATCCAAGAAACACTTACTACTTGACTCCAAACTATATGAGAGATGTGCATATGAAGTTCAAAAATCAGAGAATGATTGGAAGTATTCCTGTGTAGGGGGTCTTTCAGGTACACTTTTTGGAGTGATATGCAGTAAAAATGAAGTTGTCAAAAAATCCTGGGGTGACATTTTCCAATTTCGGACACATGGAATAAGTTTTGGATGCGACGCGCCCCCCTCTAAATTATGACCCCTGATTACGTCCACGTATCGCACACAATTTTTGATCAAACGAATCAATCGGTCTCTGACCATTTTTCAATTTCAATCTTGCTCTTTGTTACATGCCACGTACCACTCGTTCACGCTAGAAACCACGCTCTGTTGTCTCGTGTTGCCCGTCAAGAATCCGGCAGTAAAGCTCGAGGGTGAAGTATTTTAGTCGTAACAGGTGTCACAGACCAAGCGTGCCAGGTTTTCAACCTATCAAATTTTACAACCGGGCTGAACTTTCATTCGAGGTTTTGAAAGCAACCAGATGCTGTGTTTGAAGATGGGAAGTGTTGCATTTGCGCTTCTACGCTGCACGGTGGCAATTTCATGAGATACTACTATTTTCAATGATGAGCTTCCCTTTACTCAGTACTCGTATCGTTCTCCGGCACTACCGTACGGTGTGATCCATCTAGCGCCTTAGATAGTCAATCATAATGAGACAAAAAGATATCGTCCATTCTATTTTCGAACGGAAGTTTGTTTCAACACGACTTCTACTCGTCGTCAGGTCATCATAAAGCATCACGAAACTCCTGTAGTTCGCTACCGCACAACGACAAGGTTCATCAACGAATATAACAGGAACAACAAAAATGTTCGCGACTCGAATGAATCTTTACTTGACGTTTCTAGCTGTTACCGTCTCGTCGGTATCCTCATTTAGCATCCCTGATGTTCACCATATCCAATCCACGACCGACACCATTCTTCCCCATGTCAGCAGCATATTGAATACCCCATCCATTGTGCTAAATCACAACGCCATCGATGCGACGGCTTTCGATCCCATCTCTGGATACAAGGAGCTGCTCAAGACGAATCCTTTGCCGACCAAAATGGTGACTGGGGCCACCTTGGCAGTATGTGGTGACGCCATTGCACAGTCTCAGGACGTCGATGTCGAGTACGACAAACGACGCGCGGCATCCTTTGCTCTCTTTGACATGGCCTATCGTGCCCTGCAGCACTTTGCGTTTCCCGTCATTGTTGCCTATTGCCACGGACAAATTCTCGGATCGGTGGGGCCCTTGAACGTATTCGATTCTTCTCAGCTTGCAGCGATGGAGCAAACGCTTGCTTCGCAACTCGGAATTGTGCCATTCCTCTACTATCCCGCATTCTTCACAATATCTTCTGCCATACAAGGGTTGTCGGCATCGGGGGCATGGTCGCGGGCGGTGGAGAACTTTGTGCCGCTTATGAAGCGGAATCTTCTATTTTGGATCCCGGTTCAGTTCATACAATTTGGATACATACAAGAAGACCTTCAGGTGAGTTAACTGTCTAGTCCTTCGCATTCCGTTGTTCTTCGTTACTGCTTTCCAGTAGTGCATGACATCAGTCGCCGGTTCGCAAGTTTGAAGAATAATTTGGGTGAATCCTATCGTCAGTAGATTTTCCTTCCCTAGTGATTCCTTCACTCACACTGCGATGTTGTTTACTCTTGTTCTCTCGCGTGACAGATACCATTCTTGTCTTGCGCCGGCCTTGCATGGACATTTATTCTGTCCGTTTACGCTGGTTCCGCCAAGAGCTACAGCCAGGAAGATGAAATCGAAATACAGGAGTCGACAGTCATATCATTGAGCAATGCAACTGCTGCCGTTTACGACGAACAAGAATCGCCAAGGTTGGCAGTTGTGGAATCCGTTGCGAGGTGATACTACTCGCTCGTTCAAATATTGTACACTACATAATACTTCAAATAATTTTGAAATTCCATTTTGTTTTAATTGTTGTTCATGGCTTCGAAAGTGGTGAAGGTAGTTGTTGTCTGACTGACGTTTAATTATCTAGGATAGAAATGGTTACCACCAGTCAGCAACAGTGCAGATACTAAGCATTCCATGATGTAACTTCCACTAAACGGAAGGTTAAGTTAGTCCGAGCACTTGAACCCACTGGTATTTGCTTCGCGCTTTCCTGAGTGTATGGACCCCTGTTGTTAAATTTATGTTCTCATATGGCTATTTCGACTGGAGTCTACTACTACTGCATAAAAAATACTACCACTAGCAGTAGTGCAAGTAATAGTACCGGAACGAGTACGAGGTACTATTGATTGTAATGGTTGTTATTGTTGTTTGTCGCACTGTTACCTACGCCAGTACCGAATTACGGTATTCTTGTGTGCTTTGACATTTTGACATCTCAAAGTGTTAATTTCCCATGCCCTCCAAAACAATCGCGCCAAAAAATCTCGAGTTTCAGTACGAGTACGTACTCTGCAGTATCAGAACGTACCGCGGAGGTACTTTACCTAGCCTGCGGTAACAAAAATAATTTTGTAATGGTTGCGTAGCGGCACTCAGACGACCGAAGGCGGTGATGAAGAGCAGCTTTCGATGGCACACTACGAAGACTGTATTACTCGCACCKAACTCTGAAGTGCAAGGCACGAACCCTGCGCAGTTCATCTCTATCGGTGGTGTGCAAGCTTACTCCGGGTACAACAGTGGCCTTGTGTCCAGTCCAAGATCCATGTCTCCCACACCAGCAGCAGCAAAAACAACAACCCTGAGCACACGGCAGCCAAGAAAGTTCGGGTCCAAGCGAACCGAAACGAAACGCCGACGTGTCACGAAGAGCGACCCAGACAATGGGCTGCGACCAGATGCTGTTGGTTCCTCCATTCGAGGCGGCAATGGGCTGCGACCAGATGCCGTCGGCTCCTCTATTCGAGGCAGCAATCCTGCCGTGCTTGTCGATGCGCCCTTGGCTGCTCGTTCGACCGGGTTCTTCTCTTCACCTAGGGACATTTCGAGGACGCTTGGCAAGCTCGAAAATCGGTCGTCGCGAATAAACGGCATCAGAGCTCTGGAGCAAATCCAAGAATGGTTGGCAAACGATAAGGCGACCACCGAATCCTCAAAGGGGGTATTGGAACATTTTTATTTTTACGGTGGTGTTGCAAGAACCCTGGATTTTCTCGAAGACAACATGGACGACCTCGATTGCGTGATGATTGCCGCTGCTGTTCTGTCTGACTTTCTTTCCTTTCGATGGAACGGAACGGTACAAAATAGGGAGATTGCAATGAACATAGCCAAGACGATTGTCCAGCGCAACGGAATTCCGCTCTTGCTGCTTGCCAATCAAGAGTTTCTGGTCGGGCAAAGGACTTCTTCTGCTACGAAACACGTTTGGATTGCGATCGGCAGGACGATCAACGGAGAAGAAACTCGCTGCATCCTTGACAAGAAGCAAAAGCTAAATATTTTGAGTGACGCCATCGACTGCATTTTCCGACTGGAAAAAACTGGTAGCGAGGACTGGGCCGACGGTGTTCTCCAGGTGGTCCTCTACACCATTGCCAACACAATCAAAGACGCCTCGATAGAAAAAGAGGACTTGAAGCGATTAGATATTGTGCCAGGCTGTCTTATGATCTTGGAAAAGGAGAGTGATCAGAATCGTAGCGACGATGTGATAACCTACGCTCTCGGGATCCTGACAATGTGCACCAAACAGAAGAAGCTCGTGCGGAAGAAAGATTTCGAACAACTACTGCCCATACTAATTCGTTGCATGAAACAGTTTGGTGGAAACAGCCAAATTCGGTCGTTTGTTCTGGCACTTCTTGCAGGTGCTTGCGAAAAGCTCCCAAAGGAAACGATGGAAAAGGCGGGCGTGCTCGAAGCTAATTCTACACTGCTAAAATCGGATGGACTAAGCGAAGAAGTAAAGGAAAGAGCTCGTAGCATAATGAGAAAGATACTTAATTGAACTCAAGCACGGACTTTGACAACGATGCCAAAAAGTTAATATTGAAAGAGAAAACACAAAATGTCAGATTTTGATTCGATGCGAACGATATGGTTCTTTTCTTCCCAGGCAATCGATTTGGACCCGGCAGGAGGGTTTTGCCAACAGAGAGAAACATGGATAATTGGCAATAAGTAGAACGCCTCCAAGGATTCGGAAAGATCGATTCATTATTTCGTGCAAGATACAAGTTGACGTAAAGTAGCAAATTATTTCTTTATATTGGATAATTGCTAAGCATTAACCTACATAGTACCTAATATGAGCTTACATCAAGGCACAAATGCCTCCTTGGAGACGTGGATTGTTCGTGTCATCATTAGTACCTCCAGGGCAGCGGTTTGTGTTGTGTTTCTCATTCTTTTCGAGTCCTTGTATCCAAGGATATTCAAGGGCTTCTTTAGCGGTGAGTCTGTCTGTCGGGTTTTTATCCAACATCAATTCAACCAAATCTTTGACGTCCTGTGATATTTTACCCCACTCACTCTCGGGAAAGTCGAGTTCTGCAGTTTTGTTTGCCTCGATGAGTGCCTTCTCAGTTTCACCGTAAAACGGTTCGTACCCACACAACATCAAATAAAAGGTCACGCCGGCAGAGAAGACATCTACTTTGTTTCGATAACCTTCCCCTGGCCCGGCCTTGAAGATCTCAGGAGCTACATATCCAGGCGATCCACAACGGCCTCTCACAAATCCATCCGCACCGACCAATGTCGACATACCGAAATCACAAATCTTGACCGAGACTCCGTACTTGGATTCGTTTGACGTGGTCATCAATATATTAGCTGGCTTTATATCACGGTGAGCAATACCTGCCCGATTCATGGCATCCAATGCAACTAAAATGTCGCGAATGATGCATCCTGCCTCTCCCTCTTCCAAAACCCCCTTCGACGAAATGTACTCAAATAAGTCCCTTCCGTCGAGAAGTTCCAATTCGATGACAACCTTGTCCGAAGTTTCGAAAAATCCCTGAATTTGTAAAAAGTTCTGTTTCGTCCCAAACTTCGCAGTCAGCGTTGACTGCACGGCCAATTCACGCACTATCGTATCGGGTCTTTCTCTTCCTTTGATAACCATTCGCCAGAACTCGTTTTTGTTAATGACTTTGAGAGCGCAGTTATATTTACCATCATCAATAGGAGAGCGTTCTTTGTCGCATCGATCCTCTTCGTCGCTGTTGTTCGCGGTCTTCGAATTTTTCCGCCGGGCGGCAAAAATAGAAGCGTACCGACCACTTCCTAGCGGATGGTCTTCGTCTATTTCCCATAGATCCTCAATCTGAAGTCTGGCAGCTTTGTTTAGGCATGTGATCCAATGGTCCCGTTCGTCTTTGTTTTTCACTCGGATCAACAGAACTCTATGATCTACCTTGGCACATGGACTCGCGTAAAAGTGCAATTCCAGGCCATCTTCAAAGTCTTTGTGGATGTGTGCAGTAGCGTGCTGGAGGTGAGCAATCCCGCGTGGAAGGTTTGTCAAAGGAGCGGACAAATCGTATTCGAATAGATAATTTTGTCGTAAAACCAATTTGCACGACGAAAATTTGCCAAAGGATAAGTGATATTTTTCGCCAATGTAGGTCATCACGGCATCTCCTAATTCAATCGCGCCTGAGGCTTTCGAAGGGCACGTTGAAGTCGCCGCCTCTTTGACAGATTCAGTGCACAATCCACTCAGGCCCTGTATCGTGCTTGATGGACAAGCTGCCAAGGCAGCAGGTGCAATTAGGTAACGTCGACCCCGCGCCCACGAGTCGGCGCTCTGAATAGGTTTCAACAAGCGCGAACTGTTGCTATGAATAATATTGTCTTTGGCAAATGTCGTCGTCGGGAGAGATTTACTTAGTAGATTCGAAGAGGAAACGGGTCTCTCTTGAGAATTGTACATGCCCGCCAAATCAACGTTTGAAGCCTTGTTTCCACCGAGAAAGGGACTTTCGGAATCTGTGGAAGAATTATGAATTTTCGTAAACGCCTTCTTCGTTTCAGGCGAGGCCGGAAAAACAGTTCTTTCTGTCTGACCCAGTTTATGAAGGAGATGGGAAGAAGACGAGGTATGCACCGTAACCATCCCACCGATAGTCTCCAAAGCTCCGTCGAGGTTTTCGGGCGGTTCTGTGATTCTGCCATCGGTGATGATCGTTGGAGTTGTGTTGCTAAAGCTGTAATGGCTACTGTTATTCTGGCTCATCAGATTCGTGTCACCGTTGTTCGGTTCTGGGACCAGGCTATTGTCCGAGTCATCTAGATTAAGACCAACATCGTGAAATTCGGAAGATGGATGTTTGTTCTGTATCCTCAGTCCTTTCAAAGTCGGCATTTCGGGAACATTACGAAAATCCAACTCATCGTGGTAATTATGATTGTATTGTCTCACTGGTGTGTTCGTACGGGAATTTGAGTTGGAACTGGAACTGTATATGTGGGTTCTTGAATTGGACCGTGTACGGTGAAGCTGTGTCAGTTGTGGAGCCGATGAGGCACTGTTGGGTTGCTCCTCCCCTTCGGAGACGACTGGATTGATCTGGAAAGACGGCGAATGACACGCGGTGGAAGTCGCATTCATGTTATTGTAAGAAGTTGAACCTCTCAATTGTTCGTCCAGAGCGCTCGTAAATGTTGGTGGAGTTGTGGATACCGTCGTTTCCGTATTCGCCGATCTATTGTCTCCGTGACAGTCTACTTCTTTTTGCAACCCGGAACTGTGCAAAGGGCCCGTCCGAGTGTATTCTGCTACGGAAGACGGGAAGTGCATTCTTGTATGGGTCGTTGCTGATGGTGCTACTACTGCCAACAGTGACGTCGAAGGCAACGACCGCCTTGCCAGAGTGGTTGAATCGTTTTTGGCAATTTGTTGGCCCTTTCGCAGTTGAACGTCCAAGGCATCCATTGATTGGTGCCCTCGTTGGATTCGCCCACTGCTCGCACCACCTTTAGAAAACATGGACGGGAGCCCACCGCTCTTCCCCGATAAATTCCGAGAGACCAATCGCTTCGATCCCTTTATTATAGAAAACGACGATTTTTTCTTGCTCCCTCTCATTCCTCCCCCCGTCGTGGATTGACTCGCTCCACTTCCATTCGTGCCGGTGGACATGTCTTCTGCAGGTAGCATAGAGTTAATGCTGCTCCCCGGAGAGGATGACATCGTTGGTGAAAGGTTTGGGTTCTTGCCTTTCAAAAACGAATTGAAGGAACGCTCCCATTTTTTCCGAGGCGGCGTCCCACAATGAGACGATGGCGCAATCATTGAGCCTTCAAACTTGTTCCCGCCGGATTGATTAGTATGAACGCTGTGTGCTTCGGCTTTCCTAGAAGATGCGCTGCTGGAACTAACATTCAGAGACGATGCGGAGGTAGACGCTTTTAACAAAGTGAAGCTTCGTCCTGGGATTGGGAGACTTGCTGTAGTGATAGCTCCTGCTGTTGGTGATGACTCCTCGTCGTAGAAGTTGCGTCTGACCATTGCCTTCCGTTCAGCTCCGCGGAGATATAGTTTGCTTTATTTTTGCCCAGTTCGCCACGATGCAGTGAAATGGATTTTGGCTCACTAGCTCCTAAACAAAAGACGGAATGGATCATGCTAGCACACGGATGAATCGCAACTTATCGATAACCGTCCAGTGTTTTGTTTTCGAGGAATACATTTCTTCGTTTGTGCTGGTTTTTGTAAGTACGAAACTCTTACGGTTCCCAGAATATATTGCGAAGTAACCTCCGGAACTTGAGTTTATGAAGAATAAACCATCAAAAGTTCTGTTCCGATGCCTGCAGTTCGTTGTTTTATGGTCGCGTCTGCAGATATGTTTTATCAGCGACTTTCTGTAAATCGTTTCTCTACTTATGAAATTGTCGTGTCCGTTATATCTCTTCTCTTAAAAGCTCTCGAAGTATGAGAATACGATTCCAATCCTTCGGGTCAATCCATCTCGAATTGTGAATCAAAAAGATACCTACACTTCTACGAGAAGAAAGCTCATTTGTCTGGCGCGGTGGCATGCACAAGCTGAGGTTGAGAACTATCGACAATTCATAGGCCCTGCTTTGTGCGAACTCGTGAAACAACGAATAATCTCTTCAAGAACGAGTACCCGTACCGTACCGGTAGCACGAAGTACTATACTCTGACTCGGACTCGACTCGTACGAGTTATGAACGTTTGTAGCCAAACGATACGGGACTAAATTCCATAACGAACAGAAGTTGTTTAGTGCTTGAACGAAGTAGAATTACAGTACGTACTACGTACCGGTACTGTGCTTTGTAGAAGTACTTGTAATTCAATTCACGAAACGAACTACGGTACGGTACCGTACGGTAAGTACAAAGTAGAGTAAAAAATAATGTCTTTTCCGATTACAAGCTACCGACCGGTAAATACGGTACGGTACTATTAATATTAATGCCGGTATCATAATAATTTTTGAGCATGTTGCATCCGATTAGATGAGCACGTGTACCGAGGAACAGGCGATATTTTTACTGATGTTTGTCATCATAGCAGAAACAGATTTTTGGCGGTGGTTTGACTTCGAGTACTTCATAATTAGCTCCAACACGGTAGTCCGATTGGTGGATAGTACTCTTACAACCGCTGGAACTTTCGGATTCGTTAATTGCATGAGTAACGCCAGATGGTGGCCATGGCTTCTTCTTCTTCTGCAATGTCATCGACGGGAACAACCAAAACTACTACTGTTGCAACAACAAGTAGTACTACTAGTACTACTACTAGTCAGGGTGGCTCTAGCGTACTGGTACTACTAGGAGTAGGTAGTACAGTATCTGGTGGTACTGCTCCTCTTCTTGATGGGGATGCAATTGTGTCTCTTGTTGTCTAGTATTAGTATAAGTGCAGTACTAGTACTACTACTAGTAGTACTACGTCACACAAACGGGATCCATGGTGTTGCGCATTTCGCGCGGTCTATTACCCTGAAATTTTCTGGTCCTACCGTTAGTTTATGAMTTACAAATTAATTTATCGAACATCTAATTTTATTCCTTGTTCTGGGAACATGTTTTCTCAATCACGCTYTHATCTATCCCMTTATCCATCGAACTTCATGGTCTATGCCCAAAAATTAGTATCCTTGGACCCTACATTCCTTCACMCATGCGTTGATTGTTAATGTGGGTCCTCCCAAGCTCAAGGTGTTTTTCCAGAACTACCACGGGTCCCGTGATCGCAGTACCCAGCGCCCCATATTCTACAGTGCCAAACGCAACAAAAAAACTGGTGC